TGGCATACAGTTTTGGAGGTGCAAATCCTGATCTGAACCATAACAACAGCCCTACTTACTGCATGTTTCAGAACTCATCTGGTCCTTTTCGGATAAGCAGCACTGACGTAAAAGGGTCAGTTCTGCAAATGCCTCAAACTCGCTAACAGAGACTGTGGTGCTGATGTATCTGCCGGTTTCCAGGAGTCTGAACTCTGAAAATTATGAGAAGTTAAATTGTATTATTTCTACTGCAGGCTGAGTAACTGTACAGAGAGAAAGGATATGCCCAGATAATAAACACATAAATCGCTCAGTAAATTGCTGATAAGAAAATGTACTTGTACTGCACCAACAGCGCAGCTCTCCTTCCTCTATGAAAGGGTCTAAAGTAGCACGAGGCAAAGGACAGGCACGTTTACACCTCTGCACAGACATAAGTCATCACTCATGTTCAGATTGTTAGCTATAATAATCTGAATTTCAGTTCTCATAACATGCATGTAATAAAACACTACACCTTTTTTTCTATGTTATTCTATTAGGTTGGAAGGGAAAATAATTATCTGATGTCTCATTTGTTTATGATAGTAAACAAACACATGTGCCACAACAAAACCTGCATATGATTGCACTTGCCATCATCCTATTGGCAAGAGACAGATATTTGCAGTTTTCCATACACTATAGCTATTAATTTGGACTTGCTTTTTCAAACAAAAGTTGCAGGACGATCTTAAAACTGTAATGTTCTAGAAGACATTTTTAAAATGAAGCACAGACACAGATTCTATCATGGAATATGGGCATGCTTTATACAGTCACAGCTTGTAAAGAAAACTTGTATCAACAGCCTACAATTTTTTGAAAGTTAATGCTCATATGAAAATTCACCRTGTAAAGACTGCAAGCTGTAGCTTACAAAGTAGAGAGGAGGAATATATAAGGTCTTTAGGCAGCACCATTATCTTCAAAATGAGGATTTAATTTGCTCTGTTTTACGCACCTCACTACAGCCAAATTGCTGGTCCTAAACTACTGAGCAACAGCAGCTTTGGACCTCATCACTTGTGTTTAGTCATTTACCCATTTTAAGCAACCATAAAAAAGATTCAGTACCCTGCCATACCACAGCAGTAGTCATTTCACACCTGCCTGCACAGAATTTTAGTTTAGAGGCTTTAGAATTTGTTGTATAGTTAAGCTAAATAATTAGCCATTAGCTCAAGTGAACACATATATGAATATTTAGGTACTCCCATAAAAACTTGGCCGAGGACTTTATTTTCTGTATCCTGAACCAAGCTTTGTGGAGCTTCTCTGTTAATTTGCATTGACTAGTTAGCAGAGCTGACAACAAGAACAAGCAGGTCAGTCAGCACAAACTGAAGAGACTAACCTAAATATGTCATTAACTGGGATGCAGAGAAAGGGTCTCAGCCCCGAGAGTCCTCTGTTATCTTTAGATTAGTAGTTCTGCAACGCATTTTATTTCTCTCGTAACTGATATATCATATGAACTTAAAAATATTTACTTTTAAATAGTTTATTACTTACTGCCTCAGATACTTACTGTCTGATCTGACCACAACAACCAAATCTTGCCCATTTGTGAGCATTCCTCAAGATTTCACTTAAATATTTTCTGGAGAAAAATAATGTTGATCATCTCTACTTTCGGTGAAATCACATCTGATTCCATATTAGTATCTTTAAGGGGATATCTCTGTATAAATAGAACTATCAATAACAATCAGGTAAGAATATCACTAACTTTGTCTTCTGATGTTTTCACTGAGTCTAGATTTAAATAATACTGTTGAATACTGAATAGATAATCATATGTACATTTGAAAAGAGTGGAAAAAATATGCACATTACTTATTTTGCTTTCTTCCTCCTGTGCAAAGCAACTGTATTATCAAGTCAGATGCTAAACTGAAAATTTGCTAATTTGATTTCATAATTAGCAAAGATGAAGATGTGTTAAATTCATTTCTTTCAGCAATGCTGAGAAGCACTAAACGTTTTTAAGAGTTGCTGTTAAACATTCAAAACTCATTTATGTGGAAAGAGAAATAAATGGAGCTATAAAGGAAGCAAAAACAAAGAACAATTCCTTCCCTAACAAAAACACTGATTTCTTCCTTATGCCAAGTCCTTTACATCAGTCTTGGATTAACTTCTCTCATTATAATTCAAATTAAAATGCCAATTTTTCAGAAGCTAAGATTAAAATAAAAGAACACACTAAAAAAAAAAAAGTAATTCCTAGAAGAAAAATCTTTGCTTTTTAATACTTTTCTTTATAATATAAAAGACATACTTTAGGAACTTATTTTAGAGCTGTTTGACAATGATTTGAAAACAGAGCTGTGCAATTTTTGCTCTGCTCAGAAACTCATTTTCCCACATAAATCAGTTTTATAAATACTGAACTTACTCTTCCTGAAATGACTGATTTTTGGTCATACATTTCTGTGAATAAAAATCTTTTAAATTCAGTTGGAATTAATCAATCACATGAACAACCTTTAGAAAAGAACTCTGTTGAGCTCCATATGAGTTAGAGGTATGTCTGAGTCTATGGAAGAACAACAGATAAAAACAGGCATGAAAAATTTAAAGATAGCAATTGTTATAACTGAGCTACTAAATAGAAATAATATCTCAGTAATGACAACATATTCAGTTCTGCTACCTAGAAATCTAACAGAGGAACTACTTTATAGCTTCATAGAGGAAGGCAATAGCATCTGGCCTATTTTCTTGTCTGCATCAAATAAACATGCATATGTGATATACAATTCTGAATAATATCTCAGCACTCTGCAGAGAAGCCCTGGTGTTAAAATCACCTCTTGTCTAGCCAAAGAGCACAACTACTTTCCACTGAAWGAAGGAAAGAAAAAAAGATTTCAGAAGGAAATGCGGGAATATTTGGAATTAGGAGTCAATAGATACAGTATATACATACATCATTAGAAAGAATGGGAATGTTCACACCAAACATAAATCAGTTCTGGGTGGTATTTCCCTTGTCAATAGCATATTATGATGCTGATAGCAGAGAACTAGACTAGGCACYAAAGACATTGCCAGTGTTGTGGGGTTGGGGGAAGAGAGAGAGAGAAACAAAGCAGAGTTGAGGTCCATTTTGACTTCAGGTCAAAATAATTTGGACAATATTTCTTTGCTTAAAAAAACTAAAATATTTTAGGATATGCTGATGCCTGTCTTATATGTTTGAAAGTCCTGTGATTGCATTTGATTCACTTCAGTGACCGAATAACTGTAATACAAGAAATATCTGTGAGAAAGGCCAGACAGACTAAGATGAGCTTAATACTAAGAAATTGTATTTGACTGTATGAAGGGATAAGACTTTTTTGCCCATTTTAAAAGGCTATTGGAAACTTCTCTAGGACCTATTTCTTTTTATTCTGGGAATTTTTCATACCTATCTGACCAATCTATATAGGCAGAGTTATGTCATGGGAAATAGATAGGCATTGTTATTCAACAGTAAGCCATGAGACAAGCCTTGCAATACTCTATAACCCCTTGTTTTTCAGACTAATTTGTATCCTGCAAATTAACTGTCCATGTCAGAGATTACAAACTTAAAATCCTGTTCCTTCTCTAATAGGCTAAACTGAGAACAGCTGGCACAAACTTTTTAAATTCTTATCCTAACACATTCTCTACAACAGTGACTAGTAAAGACTAACACAGCTAGCAAGTTGTGATCTTCTTTTTATCCGCAGTTTGAGAAAACTGCACAGTCAACACTAAAGGACTTGTCTACCAAACACAAGACATGCTCCACRCGTCTCAGTAGTTCTAGCACGGATTACAACTGGAATACAGGAGTTAGTGCTATTTTTTATTCTTCATAGGAAAAAAAAATAGCTCTGAATGTTTGGACCTTAAATAAAAGGCTTCACTTAAATAAAAGGGCTGTGTCCCCATTAGTTAGGCTCATTTGTTTCAAGCTAATTGGCAGCCAAGACTAGCTACAGGTTTATGAGCAATATTCTGCTTCAGAACTCAAGACTGTATAAGGCAGCTGTGGCATATATTGAAAGGTACATATAGCCTGATGCGCATGCATCTTCACTCAGAGACATCATAAATCAGAAAACAGCAGTGGGAAGGGAAGGAAGGAAGGAAGCTGCATGCAAACCTTAGAAAAACAGAACTGGGAGCTGGTCCTGAAAAATATTACCATGTTATCTATAAAACCAAACCAATTTTACTGGAAATAAGAAAGAGGAAGCATATCTCCTTTGTCTATGTCTCCTGTGTCTACTGACTCATTGCCACCATTTGTTACATTTTTCCCTTTTCAGGCCTACTGATATCGAACAGGGAAATTCTTTCAAATTACGCAACGTGACAAATTAACATCCTATTTGCTATGCTGGTATAACTCATTTTATCGCTATGGTTATAGAAAGGAAAACTATTTTTAACCTCTACAACCCATGTTTTCTTTTGACAAGGCTATCTATCACCAATGAAATTCCAAGTTCATAAAACTGGAGAGCCAACATTTCCAAGATAATGTACCTCATGTGGAGAATCAACCCTCCTAATCAGTTTTGACTCTTACATCAATATTTGTCTTAACAYGGCAACACTTTATCACATACTGTAGGACACATGCAGAGCTCTTCCTAGAAGCCATGTGGATCTGGACAATAAGAGACTGCATCATCATTAACGTGAACACACAGAAAACAAGCAAAGCAGATAAGCAACCCAAGCAGACCCAGATGGATAACTAATTCTGTGATGCACAGTAAGAGCTAGATTTTTTATAACATCCTATTTTATGAAGAACAATTGTCCTTTGGTGGGCAGGTGTGGTTTCCAGTTTTCAAAACAATAAATCTATTGAATCAAATCTATGGTTTGGGGGGGGGGGGGGGAAGGGAGGAAGGGTAAAATGTATGTAATGATCTTCAAGAACAGAAAATATGTTTTTCTCAAGATGGAAGCCTGATTTAGGAATTTCCCCTTTGAGTATAAGAAATGAAAATTCTGTACTTTGCAAAGTCAGCTAAGGTCATGATTAATATAGCATCCATTAATTAGTTTGTTGATATCATGAAGGCTTTTCTTGTCATTCCCACTGATGAATGAGGGAATTTGCATCTCAGCAGGTAAACATGCTTGATACTTCCTTAATCTACTGCACTGCGTTTGCTACAGCCAAAAATAAGAAACAAAGTGGGCTACAGAGTCAAAATGATTTAGAAGACAGCTTAGAAGTTACAAAGGAATATGAATTAAGAATAAACTTAAAAAATTACATATATTCTGATGTGTTCCATAAGGATACACATTTTCTTTGCTAAAGGAAGCCTTTAGGGAACAAATACTTATGTCATATACCTTCCACTCTGCTGTTCAAAAGTCATTTTACATTTCCACTGTAGCTCTGCCTTTTATTTCCTTCCGTTCTCCTTGTCTTGGTTAGATTAGAGAGATAGGGTGTTAATGGGGGACTTGATGAAGATTGAAGACCTATTTTCTCCTCCCCTCGCCCCACACCCCAGAGACCAGCCTGATTTGAACAAATTGAGGATAGTGAAGCAGTCTCTTCATGTCCTTGGGAAGCCTTTTCCATTTCAGCATTTCCAGCTCCCAGACATGGTCCCCTTTGTTCAATGAGAGGGGAAAAAAAAAAAAAAGGAAAAAAAGAAAAAGGTGCCAGCACACGAAGGTTGTGAATAATTTCATATAATGTCACTGGGTCTTCCAAAGCTCCCTTCAGTCCTTCCTAGGGCTGGTGAGCATGTGTGCGCGAGGTGGATCCAGGCGGGGAGTGCAGGGAACCGGTGCTCGCAGCCCGAACGGGGCGAGCAACAAGCTGCTGTCCTCCAGTGCCCACATCTGCTGCTGCCACTTCCTTACTGCCCTCGTCCTTGTGGGTACTGCTCTGTGCTGGGCACTCAAAATGCACACAGTGAAACACCTGGAGAGAAAAAAAAATATATGAAGATACAGCAAAATAATTACATGCTTAATGTTTAAATGCTAAATGCTTAAATAATTAACCGTTGGCAAAAGAATGATCAAAATAAAATGAAATCTATAGAGAAGCTCGCAGGCTGGATCAGTGCCAAAACACTGCCAAAATACAAATTAAAGTGTTCATCATGAGATCCAAACCATCTGTCAGTGTACCACAAACAGCAAAGTGTTAGCAGGTCATCAAATTATTCAAACCTTTATGCATGGCACTGAAAATCAGACCCATTGCTCCAAAGCAAATAAAGATATTTGTAAATTATACTCTCTTTGTAAAGTAACATAAATACCTACTATCAGACATCATGCTATTGGATAACAGCAACAATAATATTGTCATAAACATATATACAATCTATTTACAAATTCATCAAAAGATTTAATGTTCATACACACCAGAAATGAAATTTTCATCATTCTCCATATAAATCTGTCTTCAGATTGCCCATAGCTATAATCAATAATACCTCTGCAAACTTATCCTGGACCACATAGAAATGTCTACAGAGTTTCCAAACAGACTGCTAATTCATTAAATGAAATACCAGATTTGAAACATGGATCAATTTCTGATATTTCAAGTGATACTTGGACCCTAGTACAGGTGATAGWATCTTACAGCAAGAGAACCAGCTCTTTAAACATTTTATCAATTTATTTTCTATCTTTCTTACTCTTGCTTACACATTATTTGTTCTTGCAGTGTTTGAGTAGAGAGAGGTATAAACTGTTTTAAAAGGTCACTAAATTTCTTTCCATATCATTTCTCATGGCTATAATTGCAGTTTTGCCACACACTAAACAAATAAATCTTTTCTGACATAAACCTAAACTCTGCTATTTTCTCATGTAATGTAGCTTTACAGCTAAAGCTTGATGAACATTAAAAAATGAATTTTGAAGTTACTTGCTTTAAACTTTCACTGAATTAATTTTACATTCTTTTATGACATCTTCTATTCATTTCATAACTCTATAAATTCATGTCTTTAAATTTCTCTTCATAAACAATGGTAATCTCTTATAATCCTATCTGCCCTACATTCATACATATATCCACAAGCATACACACATATAATGGCTTTCCCTGCACACCCACACCGTGGTTTTCCCCTGAAGCACTGTGGTGAGTTTTATAAAGTCTAATTTATTTTCTTTCAGTTATATTTCTTGAGAAGCCCCTTTCACACTTATGCTTTTATGCTTTTGAAGTGACAGCTATCAGCATCTTTCCAGGCACACTTATCAGCATCAGGAGTTCCAGCAAAGAACAATATCTCATCAATTCATCTGTGTTATACACTGCTTTTCTTGAAAGGCAGTATTGTCTAATGAACAGAATGAAAGTCTGCAAGTCAGAAGATTCTGTATTTCTACTGTATCCTATGCCAACAACTAACAGCATTGCAATTTATACAGTGATTTTTTTTTTTTTTTTTTTCTTTTAACCATGTATGGATACCACTACAATTTAGCCAATGCTAGGCTATTAAAACTGAAGCATCACATCCTTAAATTAAACCTTCCACTTATATTGTTTCTTTCATACTAGGCTCTTCAGCACTCATCTCAGCATAAAAATGATAAAATTGGTGAGACTTTCGTAAACAACATAATAGTCACAATTAAATACTTAAGAATACACTGAGATACATTAAGCAAATTGAGAAAAAATATTTGTAGACACAGTGATGAGAATTCTTTAAATGCAAGTGTCATGGAGAGGGGAAACTGGAGATCTAACTCTCTTCTCACTCAAATCACCAGGGGCTTGGTCATCAAGCTTATGTTTAAAAGCCTCCTCCTTTCAGGGAATAATAGTCTGTGATGCCTGAGTCATAAAAGAACTCCATTAAAAAAATGAAAATAGAGGAAAAATGGCAAAATCAAATAGAATTAAAGAATGATGAAAAATGAGAATTACTCAGAAATATATTAATCTGCCTGCTGGCAAGAGATGAGCACAGACGAAAGCAGTTATGAGTGAATATAGGGGTATGATGATGCAAAATATGATCAGAATAAAGAGAGATGTGATAACCAGACCATCAAGTTCACAAGAAGATTAAAGAATGAAATAGAAGAGAGGGAAAGTGGATGTGGAAACTTTAGAGAGAGATTTCAGAATCTGGGACAAATGGAATGTGAGGAACTGAGGGTAGTAAAGAAGATAGCAGGCTTTGTGGGATGATACCTACGTAGGAAATTCTGCTTAAACAGTAATAAATCWTTGCCTCAGCGTTCACAAAGAAAGATGAGTACCAGATAATATAAGCAGATATATTTTTCCCAGAAGAAAATGAAAAATGATGAAAAAAAATCAAAATAGGTGATTAAAAGAAATAAACAAGCCTATTGTAACTTCAGAATACCATGAGATGAACCTCAAAACCCCTCAAAAATAATAAAAAAAAGGATTTTGCAGACATATYTCAAACCTCTTGGAAAACAGTGATAGACATAGCTGTGATATGAGAGCCTCAGTATCTAAACCAGGGTCAGATTTTTCTCTTTTTTTTTTTTCTTTTCTCCTTTCAAACAGGTGGTACCCTGTCTACGTTTTAAATCAAGAYGTTTATTGTGAACTTATGAAAGCCTTTCCTTGTGCATCTTTGGTCTACTTAATTCCTATCATGAAGTGCATTTTATACCTTTAGAACATATGGTAAAGTATAATTCTTACATCTTTTCTTTCTTTTTGCAAGTATTATTCACACCATTTTAAAGAAAATAGAAAAAAAAGAAAGGAAAGAATCAACAACTTGCTGTGCACAGCCCAACATTAATTTATAGGAGTATGTAAGCTTGTTAGAGATACTGAAGTGCTTAAAAAGACTAACATGCAAAGCAAGTGTTCCTTCTGTATTTTGCAAAATATGCAGGTATTTTAAAAGGTTGCATAATACATATTTCCATTTGTGTCTTTACTTACTGATGCTTTTCATGACTGCTCTTCTGATATAAAATTATTCATTTTTAGTAGATATATTAAATTTGCTACATTTTTAGCATATAGTACTAAAAATATAGTACTAAAAATAGCTTTTTCTTAATAAAGAGAACATATTAAAAAGGATCCAAAAGCAAATAGGCCTGTCTTCCACCTGCAGGTGCAACAAACTTTCCAGAGGCAGCTTCCTACTGTACTTCATTGGTTAAGAATAAACTACAGTGCTTGATACAGATAGACAGTGTTTCTGAGGAAAAAAAAATCTTTTCTTTCAGAAAAAAACTTTAAAAATTGCTATTCAATTGCTATGTCTATTGCTATTGCAATAAACAATGCTATTTTACAAGTCTTCCAATGTCTTACTAAAAACCAGGATCCATTACAGTTGATGGGCTCAACTAATACTACAATAGCATCATCCAAAATTCATTGTGAAAATGCCATGTTTTGTTGTGTACATAGGTCCTCATGTATATCCAACTCACACACATATACAAGGAGCCGTTATAGTGCTCCTCTGCAATTTTGCAATACGAGGTACTGATCTCAAGGATTTGCAAATGTTCTTAAATTTGCATTTTCCAAATACTTCACTGAAGTTGTAAAATCCAGACCACATTTGAGACAATATATAACGATTATAAATTATAGATGCATAAGAAAACAGAATGAGAAAGATACTGAACTCATTGTGCTGCTGCAAATGTGGGTTTTTTTATATGAAATAAATGAAAAAAATCCTGGTTTGGCTACTATTGGTTAACTGATTTACTGGGTATGAAAATTAATTAGAAAAGAATCTTATGCAAATACGATTTTCTTAGGAAGAATGAGATTTTTCTTATGTTTTATTCATTAAAGAGATAATGTAAAGGTGATAAAACCAAGTAATCAGAGGCTATATGCCTTTCCTATTGCATTAAAATAGTATTTTGATCATTCATCAAAATAAGTAATAATTTAAATATTAACCAAACCTGATAGGCATGTTAGATGGCACTAGGCAAAAGGCAAAATGAGATGAATTTCTTGTACTTTGTCAAGGGGTGCAGCAAGAATCCTCCACTCTGGCAGCACCCCTCGAACTCTACAGAGTCCAGGAAGAGGGTAAGAGTGCTCTTAAATAAAGAAAACATTTTTTTTTTCTTAGATTGTGAGTGCAAAAAAAAAAGGCATTTTAGGGAGCATTATTAATAACATAGGAATACATGAAAAGTAGGTATATTTTACATATTCGTGAAGAACACAGGTCTTCTTTTCTCAAAAGGCCCTTACCTCATTAGCCGTGTTGTGAGTGCCAACAATTCTGATGAAAGATGCAGGCTGTTTATCAAAAGTGATTGTTTGCCAGGATCTGCAAAAAATTCAAGCAAGCCATACAGAAAATATTATTAACCACAGTCACAATAGCTTACAGCAAAATATATAGAGAAGCAATCCAAGTGACAGCACAGGCAATCACTTAATGGGACAAACAGAAAAGCACTTTCCAAGGCCTCAATTCCCAGCACTCCTCGTTCTCCTTTATTTTTAAGCTCATTGTGTTTTCTTGCGTAACTAAGTACTGTAATTTATATACAAGATAWATATACACAATACTCATACTATTGTTAAAACTTAACATTAATAGAAAAAAAAATGAATCAATGTCTAACTCTCTTGACTCTGTTACTAGCAGACAGGCAGAAGAAAATGCATTCCTCTATGAACTGCTTCTGGGAACTGCATGTGAGAAATCCTAAATACCTCCGGTCAGAGCCGGTGGTTTTTGGATAAAACAACTAAGCTGGGAACACTATGGTCTTCCTCATTCATAATCTTTGGATTTAGGTGAGGTCCTAAGTAGTCTAACAAATAAGAGGCAAAGGACTCTGATTCCCACCATACTCCTGTATTTATGTGTGCTTATGGATACTGGCGGTAAAACAGAAAAAGCAAACAAGAGCAACAAATTCAGTTTTATGACAGTCTTCCATTACCCTAATTATGTTATAATTCTTTTTAATTCATAAAACATGAAAGCAAGATACAAAATTTAACTTTCAACAGAATTGGACTCTATTATTAGTGATATAATATAGCTAAATATCATGATGAACTTTAAAAAGAGGAAATTTATTCCTTTTACCTCAAAGTCTACCACAGATGACTGGCTGAGACAACCAAGTAAATGTAGCACTAATTCTCATGAAAAGTTATTGCCATAGTGTGCATTAATGCACGCGCTTTTTTACACTTAAACATGTACACTTTGTACAAGAAAATATGAAATATGAAAATGAGTTTTACCTATTTAGTGATTTGGAAAACATACTAAAACCGTTTTAAATGAAAGAGCTTAAAATCTTAAAGTTCTTAAGAACGGTCTCTGCCATCCTAGCCTCTAAGCTAGAGTTTGTATCCTATCATTGGGGAAAAGGGTAATTAAGGATCATCAAACGGAACATATATGATAACATATTCATTTACAGCGCTTTTGAGTGCTGGTCAAATAACACTGCCAGAGTTCAGCACAGRTTTTTCCAAGGATGGATGAAAATGACCCATCTAACCCATCATATAGCTTGGGAAGTTATTTAGAGGCTGTAAATCTGCTGAAGATCCCTTTGACACTATCTTTCCAGATCATCCCTTCAGGGAAATCCCTAACTTCTYCCACTTTTCACAGCTGTACACATCCTTATTTACTGCCCTGCTGCTGTTATTAGGATCAGATTATAATTATCAAGACATGATATAACAGTTTGGTTTTTTTCCTTTAGGATATAAGACTTGAAGGGAGATTGGGTTTTCGATAAATTCAGTCCTGCGAATATTTACTGCTTTAGTATGTGTCTGTTTTACTTCCTTCCCTTAAAAAAAGAGGAAGTCAGAATTACAAACAGCTTGTAGGAGCTTTATTAAAATTCAGTATTGCCACTAGAGAATTAGCTCTTGATGGGGTAATGAGAACATTAGGTCTCTTAATTTATTTCCTCAGCAAAAAGGAAAAAGCAAAGAAGAAAATAATACAAATGAATTTGGGAGGAGAKACATTTGAAATAAGCAAGGTTTCCTGAATAGAAAGCTGCACTCATTTCAAATAGAACAGTATATCTGTGGCTATCAATACATGTAAAGCCATACTGCTCCCCAATCTGAATGAAATTATGCAGCAGAGAATTTATACTGTGTACCTATTTCCACGTGTGGTGAGATTACCCACAGAATATTATCACGGTCTATCTGCCCTCTTTTTCTTTTTTTCTTTTTTTTTTTTTTTGCTGGCATAACAAATTCTGCAAGATTTCTGTTTATGTATCAAACCATAACAATTGTTCAGTGGCATTGTGAAATTAAAAGGAAGACATCATAGGTTGCATTTAGCTTGAAGTTTCTTTTTGCTATTAGATCTCTTTTCTGGCACCACTGAAATAATTTCAATTTCTCTGTAGAATTTTATTTTGCCAATGGCTTTGTAAATGTGCAGCCAAGTCATGCGTATGTGCCTATTTTACTCTTTCCTCACATGAGCTATTCTTTCTATTTCCATAATCACGTTTGATGGTCTTTACAAGAGTTTTCTGCAAACTGTATATGAAGTTCTGGTTTGATGTGTCCATATTCCACTGGAATCTAGGAACAGCTGCACTAAACCACAACAAAAGCAGCTCCTTTTTGATYTGGGATTAGAGCCTTCTGTGCAATTGATGCCATTTCACCACCTTTCCTCCTCTGTGCATGGAAACAAACTTTTCAAGCACTGTCACTAATTTGGATATGATAGGATATGATAATAAGGAAGTCATCAGAAACTTCTAAACTGACATGGCTGCCCTTGCCTCTGCATTTCTTATTAGCATCCCTCTACAGAATGCATTTTTCAGAGTTTGGCTCTTTTTAAGCATTCAGAAAGTGCTGATCTTTTTTTTTTTTTTTTTTTTGCTTTTACACCTGTCATGCTGGCTGATTCATTTTAGATTTGCTGCTCAATCTGCAGCAGTCCTGGTCATCACTTCAACAGCAGAAATAATCACTATTTCAAACCGAGGTTTACATCTTGCAGACGACTAGCAACTATCAGCCTTCGCAGATTTATACCAGGCTCCTCAAGATAAAGGCACTACTGCAAGTTGTTTGGCCAGCAAAAGCCTCCTGATGCCACAGCTCCATCTTCCAAACGAAATTAGCCTTGTTACAGCCCTGCAGTGTTTTATTTAACGCTCTACACCTCACCTTAGCCACTCCACTTCCAAGGCTCCCGTTCTGCCGGGCTCCCCAAAGGAGACGCCGTAATTGATGATTAGCATTCCAAAGCCACGCTCGCATCCTGTGAGCCTGTCATATTTAATTACATTTTAACTATATTCGTCTTCTGTAATAGTCTGAACATAATTTAGATAATTATCTTTTGCTCTCTTATTCTCTGATTCTGTCTGTCTCACTTAGAGCTCCTTGGGCCAAGAGCTTTCATCTCCCCAGCAGCAGCAGCTGTCACTAGAAAATGCAATGACTTTGTGCATCCCACAACCTATTTGCCACAATCTCTTCAGAGGAAGAAAAAAACCATTATAACCCCTCTGCTTTCCTCCTGTCCTCTTATTTATCAGGCTATTGCAGGAAGAATGCAAGAAACACTGATGTCCAGGTGAATTATAACAATATGTTTTTATTAAGTTCCCTACAACTCTACAGGAGCATTTCACCTCAGAGAGAATTTAATGGCTTTTYTCAGCATTTTCAATTCTTGCCTCGTCACTCCTATGAAAAGCTGCTATTTTTCTAAGGATTTACTCTACACAATAGGATATAAATAGCAATCCTTCCTTCTTATTTCCTTCTCTTCCGAAAGGAAGAAATTCAGAAAGAAATGGAAGTTTATCTTTTACTGAGGTTTTCTAATGAGCCGCTGCCATTACTGCACTGCAGGATCAACACAATTGCACTTATTATAGCCCAACCCAACTTCAGACCAAAAACATAAGACAAAAGAGGAWGCTCTTATATGTAGCTAACATTCWTTAGGATGTATTAGTTACATTATTATGCATGTGGATGTGCTTCCAATAAATGAAACTGGAGATAGCTTGCCTCAGATTAAGCATGGAAATTCTGTGCACAATAACTGCTTGAYCCCATTTTCCAAAGTGACACGCAGCTTCCATTTTTGTTCCTCACTCCAGAAGCAAAGCAGAGTTGGAAACAAACATATMAATTAACAATACATCTTGAAAAAGATCAGTCAGCAGCAAGGAACCTCCATTTCGCCTTATGTCCACACATGCTTTAGTCTATGCATGACAAAACACTGTTTATGTTTTTTGAATGTGGATTTTGAAAACTTAAGCCAAAAGTGACCACTAAATCATTTAATGAAATACAGCATTCACTTTGATAAAGTAGTGAGGAGATACATTTGTAAAAGTGATAGGAGGAAAAGTACCAAGCTCAGCTGTGGTGCCTTTCCATTGCTCAATCTGATGTTTGTCCTAATAAAAACAATTAAGCAGCACATGAAACTGCCAAGTAAGGAACCCTGAGCGCAGCAGCAAGCCAACAGAGACTCAACCATTGTAGTATATTCTGCATGATAGCTAATACACCCACTTGTTTAAGCAATGAATATTAATGAATCAATCTCTACCGTGGAGTAGCTGCAACAAAAACATAAAACTGCAGCATAAATACTATAAYATTGTTGTTATACAGATTATTTTCAATTATAAAAATCAAAATATGTCTACAACTGCTTTGCAAATACCCTATAAAACTACATATAGAAAAAGATCTCGTTTTCCATTATAACAGTACAAAGCAATACAGTGACTTAAGTCCTCCCCTCCTGTCAAAGCTGGAACTTAATACACTATGTAAGGGCGTGAAACCTACGGAGCATCAAAATCAATTATACTTGGTACTCAGACCCAATCCTCTATCCATCCTATCTCCCAAGCCAGCAGAGAAGGAAGTATAAGAAAAAAGATATCCTAAGTAAGGTTCTTTACCTTTGAAATTTTAAAATAAAAACAAAAGTTAGTGCAGTTCTTCCTCTCRTCTCCATCCACTAATATTTTTTACTTTACAGCTGTTTTCCATCTRTTTTGCTGTCAGCATGACAGCAATCCTGCAAAAGATGGTTTAACACCTTTGGAATTTCTAAAGATATAAAGAGGATGCAAGCAAAAAGCAAGGGCTTCTTTCTAAGCTCTCTTCGTAGACACAGAGGCAATACTGATCTATTCATGCATCYGGGTTATATTTATGGTATGTTTTACTGATGAAATAGCGAATACACTTTAGCTAGTGTATGAAAGAAAAAAAACACACAGGACTTATAATAGAAAAACTAAAAGTGGTTGAAGAGAAATATAATGA